GAACTTCCCCCCTTTTTTTTTCGGAGGCCCCACGCCACCTCAAATTTTTGTTAATATTTTTTTGTGGTTTATGACGCGACATCCCACTCGGGTCTAAAACACCCCTCCCCAACTTTTTTTTTTTTCCTGAACCCTTATTTTCCGGGTGCGCCGCACCTAGTGCGCGCGCGTTGTGCGGTGTGCGCGGTGCAGCGCACATCGATGCGCTGCAAGTATGGAAAAGACTTCACGGTCACAGAGGCCATCTAGAACGTAAGTTATTCTCAGAGTGACCATAGAAGTTGACATCATCAAAGTTCCTGTTGGATCTGCAGATTGGAGCGATGCTAAACACCAGCATAGAGATCCGTGGCACGTGCCCAGTCGAATGTGACCTAAGCCCAGACACAGCGACACAGATTAAAAAAATGGTAAACAGCAAAGTCATGAGTGTTAGAAAGCTGCAGGGATCAAACAGCTCCTCCAGAAAACTTGCAAAATGTTGCGAGTGAGAAACCGACGACAGGCCATTTGACTCTCTCCATATCAAAGTCTATACGAATAACACATACTTGACTGTTGCTTTGAGACAATGAGATCAATGACAGCTAACGGCAATCTAATACTACCGGTAGTACTCGCAGCAGAGTTTTCTGCATACTTGTCACCTTTCTAGAGCTCACAGGGCACTACATGACTCCTACAACTTTACACTTGTCCATTCCTAAGGCGAACAGTGAATGAAAGTGACAACATCCACACACACACACACACACACACACACACACACACACACACACACACATGTTATGATTCTGGTTGTCTGTTGTCTGAAGACCAACACTCACTCACATGAACTCCCAGGTATGACCATACATACACAGAAGGAAGGGGAGAGGATAGGAGTATCACAGCGCACAGGGAGAGATAAACACAGCGGAAGACTTGACCATGCGATATGACAGGGTACACTGAAAGTGCAATTCACTCCACTCAATCCTCACAACCAATCATAAAGGAAAGCCGAGTAGATCACATCCAAGAACAATGAAACGATGATAGTCCAAACCCAGTATCCACACTGTTTATTATACTCAGAGTCTCGAATTGTCAGAATAACCTCAGAACTATGATGCGCTGCACAGAGATGAGCAGCGCTTCACTCCCCAACCCTGATGAACCGCTATCACTACCCCTGAGTCCCTGAAACATCAAGCGCCACCCAAATACAGCCTCCAAAGGGAAGCGCCACCCTGAAACAGGCCTCTGAGGCCAAGCGCCACTCAGAGGATGAAGAAGAAGACCAGCGCCACAGTATCTGATGATGACGAAGTGTCGGAAGACTTCCCGGACGGATGTCTGCAGCAGCGCCACCACTCCAGACAAGATGATCTCTGAGGGAGATGCTGCAGCTATGGCTGCAGCGCCACCACTCTGGAACCCCACTCCGGAGGAGGGTCCAGCAGGGCACCAAATTCTCTCGCCTCCAGCAGACCTCGATAACCCAGACCTCTGACAGCCCCGCGTGCTGACAGAGTGCACGCGCAGGTCCCAGCTATGGCCGGCGCTCCTAAGGTCTGGCTATGTCTGTCTCCTTCCACGCTGAGCCGTCACCACTTCCGGTCCACGCGTAGCGCAGCAGCGATGTCCTCGGTACCAACTTCGAAAAGCCCTGAATCGATGTGCCCATCCTATCTATAGACTAAACTAGCCTAGACCCGACCTAGACCGGACTGACTGACCGACCGGTACTGATTCTGTTTCGGCCTCCAGGCCTCTACCTTACCCGGCTATAGGCTATAGGACCGTCGATCAGCATAGGCCTATAGGGCCTATCTGTCCTAGGGGTAGTCCGGGTCTGCTATTTGCAGTTGGGGTAGCTATAGGAGAATCTAGTTAGTACAGGCCTGTATTTTCCCAAATTTACAGATATGTCCCTCACGGATTTTCCTTACAGGCAGGTCACTTGGTTAGCCCTCAGCCAAATAAAATTACGAATCTGTCCTATCTATGGTACAGCCTCGACAGAGAGAGGCTACAGGCAACCAGAAACAGCAAGTCATTGCACACACACACACACACACACACACACACACACACACACACACACACACACAGA